TAAAACTCTATTTACCTGCTCACCAAGTATTGTGAGTAGTATAAATAGGAGTTTAGTTTCACCATTGATATTGTCTTTATTATTTAGACTATGATGACAAGGGGTGGGGTCTCTAGGGATTTATCAGGGTTGAAATTCTTTGCCATAGGCGCTGTCAATGACAAGTCTGTCATAATCAGCAACGCTCATAACACTTCATTCTTTATGTGTGTAAACCTATATGATTTTTCATGTGCAAGATTCAATGATAAAACTTTAAAAAACGGGAAATTGAGAAAGAGGAATTTCAATACACATGAGCCTCCAAATGTCTTTCAGTTACTTTGTATATTCTTGAAGTAACATTCTGTTATTATTTTACCCCTCATTTTTACTAGGTTTAGTGTGCCCAGATTTTGAGCGAATTTAGCATCAGTATATTATGATAATATTTGTTGAATGTGTGATAAGGTGAATTATCTATCTTGTTTTCTTCTTCTTATCCTCTGCTATTATATCTAGCAAACAAATAGCCATTCCTTGGTGCATGGTAAAAGCTCAATCTGTCAAGCGTGGGATGCTGGGTTGAGTTGAGGGAAGCCACTTCGTGCAAATTACGCCGGAGTTTAGGTGTGTACCCATATCAACCCGTACATCGCCCCAGATTGAGGGTCCATCACCGGGTAATGCCTTTCATTTATCTTTTTTCCTTTTATATTCTTTTCCTCCACTGACATTATGTGAACTTATTTTGGCTTTTGAATTGTATTTTTTCTGTACCGAGTATTTACTGTTTTCTATATGCTACTAGACAACATAAACGGACCTTATTAAGGCGATTTCCATTGAGTTCCCTGGGTGCAATTTAGCTAATGTTTTTTATATCACTGTAATATGCCATTTACCGTGAGACTGGAACGAGCTATTTCTTTTGACAAACATGAAATATATCAAAAGACTTGTGAAATTTCGGCGATGTTTGAGCTTTAATCTTGTTAATTTGCAGATGATGCTCAGCTAACTCCTGTATTGCGTCTTGGAGCCGGAGCTTGTGCTGGAATAATTGCTATGTCTGCAACATACCCAATGGACATGGTCCGAGGCAGGCTAACTGTCCAAGTAAAGCAATATTCTCTATTATCCTGGAAATAGAATACGTAGTATATCAAATCTGCATTTTAGTCTTAGGGTATTTCATTGCAATGCTTTTATTTCTTGTGTGACTAAAGTTATTTCTCCTGGTTCGCAGACCGATAAATCTCCTTACCAGTACAGGGGAATGGTTCATGCTTTGTCAACTGTGCTCCGTGAAGAAGGTCCACGGGCTTTATACAAAGGCTGGCTTCCATCTGTCATAGGAGTTGTAAGTTCGTTTTTTGCATTTCTTCAAATGCCACATTTTCTTTTGAGATTCTATATTGTGTACTTTTATTTTTTCAAATGCTAACTAAAAGTTTGATTTTTTGTCCCCAGATACCTTATGTTGGTCTTAATTTTGCTGTTTATGAATCTTTGAAAGATTTTCTGATCAAATCTAAACCTCTGGGACTGGTTGAAGATACTGAGCTTGGTGTTGGTACTAGGCTTGCGTGTGGGGCTGCTGCAGGGACGATTGGCCAAACAGTTGCTTACCCACTTGATGTTATTCGCCGCAGAATGCAAATGGTGGGTTGGAAAGATGCTGCATCTGTTGTAATTGGTGAAGGAGGGAAGGGAAGGGCTTCCGTCGAGTACACTGGCATGATTGATGCATTTAGTAAAACTGTTCGTAATGAGGGCATCAGAGCACTGTACAAGGGCTTGGTCCCCAATTCAGTAAAGGTTTGTCTCTATTGGATATAATAACACTATATACATAGTATTGTTTCCTTGCCTTCACCATGCATAGTCACACTAGAAAAAACTAAAAGAAAATAAAACAATAACGCTAACAATAACAATAATAATATCACAAATTCATTGACGTGTCTGCATTTTGCTAGTTCGCAATGGGGGTTGCTATGGTGACCTAATTGGCCCCTCTTATAAAAGGTGTGGCGAATGGGTAGGAATTGAACAAAACATTTTCGGGACTGTTTGGTTCATGTTTTTACATTCCCTGGTATCAGGTTCTTGAGCATAAAAAATGAACTAAAAACTCATATTTAGAATCTCATATAAGTTTCAGGAATCTGAGTATCTGACATTCTTGTGAACCAACCGACAAGCCAACAGTACATCGTATTACTTTATGTAATTTGAGATTTTTGAAACAAAAGCTGGCAGGCTTTGTGTTTCTTCAGGCTATCACTTCTTACCATGTAAAAAGATTGATATGGTTAAATAAATTGTGCAGGTTGTGCCATCAATTGCTATTGCTTTCGTGACATATGAGCACGTTAAGGAGATATTGGGGGTGGAGCTCAAAATATCAGATTGAGAGAGAGAGAGAGAGAGTGAGCAGCCAATGGAATGCCTTCATTCATGAGTACAATAATTTTGTAGGCAAAGAGACTCAAGAGAAACGATGGTCAAGGTGGCTGGCCTTCCAATTCATGATATGATTTAGGAATGTATTCTACCATGGCCATGAAAACTTTGTTCTACAGCTCATCTTTTCTTAGTTGTCTATTGTAGCTCTAGGTGCCCTCCTCGTCATCAATAAATACTTGTGAGTGGTGTGGAATATTAGTGTAACAATCAATAATTGCTTTGGATGCCTTGATCGCAAGGACACTTTTTTTCTTATCATTGATTTGTTTGTGAACACGCCATTCTTCTGTTTGGATGTTGAGTTTTCAAAAGACTCGTATCAATTTTGCAGTATCTCGTGATATTTCATGGAAGTGGGAAAAACTCTGATAATGATGGGGATTTGGAGTTCCTTGACTATTTTTTTCTCTAGCAATTTTTTTAATACTACGTATTTATTTAAGTTTGAGAATTAGGATGTTTTTACTTGGACTGTAATTTGTTGGTCTGGTCTGAACTGGTCTGGTCTGGTAAAGTCTGGTTTCTTTGTATTTTTATAACTATCCAAGTCTGGTTTGGTCTGGTCTGAGACAAATTATAGTCCAAGTAAAAACATCTTACTACTGCATTGCCCTGGATTTGATTGCCAACCTGCCCCTTGGAGAAAACTGGTCCTAATTATGATCAAAGATTCCTAATGGTTGGGCTATGTGACTATTGCTACGTAGTATGTACCTTCATCGGCGTTCAATATATGTGGACTGTGGTGGAGGCGTTCATGCAGATACATTTAATGCATTCATGCCAAAAGCCATGGGTTGCCAAGGATAGATTGTGGGCGTGAGCTGTGGTTGGTTCGTGGCACAAGCCTACTTGTCCCTTTTGTTTCCCAGGCTCCGAGCCAATGGTCACGGACTAGAGACCCACGCTTGGGCAATAGCCCTGGACTTCAAGTATTTTCGGCTTGGGACCCAGGGTACATGACATTGCTCGTTTTGGTATGTTGGGTGTTGGGTGCCTTGCTTCCTTGATCCATTTTTTGAGATCATAGCAACTTGGCTCAATTTATATCTTTTCTGATAATTGTTCTATCGGTTCTTTTTTCAGATAATTGTTCGATCGGTTCTGAGGGTCATCAGAGATCGGGTGTCATTTTTTTGTGTGCCCCGTGATCATGGACTTGCCTTTGACTCAACATCACTGATTCACCGTTTCATTATTGAAAAGAATATTTCATTGTTTATTGTTATTTCTCTTACTTTCATAAAGTCCAATATTTTCATTGTCATTGTTCAATCAAATCATAATGGCATTTCGTTATGATCATATGAGATATGTATAAAAAAATTTGATACAAATTATACGTTTACTTTTTAATTTGGGATAAATATTGTTTGATACTTCAGATTTTGGATGTTTTTACTAGGACTAAATTTGTTAGTCTAGTCTGGTCTGTTTAAATATGGTCTAATTTGGTCTGATTTGAACTGGTCTGGTCTGGTAAATATCTAGTTTTTGTGTATTTTATAACTAAGGAAGTAAATTTTGGCCTGGAGCTGAAATCGGTCCAAGTAAAAACATTCTTTGTTTTAAATTTTTGAATAGGTTAATTAATTATAAGATAACTGGTGATAGAGAGTGCTTGGATTAGGACAATTATCAAACTATTCGAATTCGAGCTCACTTTCTAACCTAACTAGCCGAGCTTTCGAACTCGAACCCGAGCTGAGTTTTAAGTCTAAATATTAATCGAGCCCGAGCTCGAACATAGTAGTATTCGGTTCGGTTCAAGCTCGAGCCTATCTAACACCCTGAAATAATAAATAAAATTTATATATACGTCAAAATTTAAATATAATTAGTTTGATTTTATGAAATTAAATATTATTAGTAACGAATCTAATACTTGTCGAATAATTCGAGCACGAGCCTATTAACGAGCATCACCTAAAAATTAAAGTTCGAGTATATTTATCGAGCTTATTGAGCGCTCGATTTGAACGCCTATCGAGCTCGAACCCGAACACCCATATTACCGAATGGAGCCGAGCTCGAGCTCTGGATGTTCAGGCTCGGCTCGGCTCGTAAATCGCCCTAGCTTAGACATACATAAACAAATTAGGATTATTTAGAGATTTTTTTTTTGAAAATTTGAGAAAAATTATTATTCAGAATTTAAACAAAACAATAATTATTGAAATTATTCCTAACACTTTTATAATCAAATATCCGTAGAAAGGGTTCTATTAAATATTTATTGAATGAATCAGATGAACGGATGGAATATATTGAGTAGGTTTGTTAGGCCAAATATTCTTGGTGTACACGTTTGTATACACATCAGTACACCTTCGTGTCTGTAAGAGTTTTTGTTTGTCTGTGAATGTCAGTTCATAGACAAAACCTGACTTGTTTTGTCTGTGGAAAATTCTACAGACAAAACAAGCCAGGTTTTGTTTGTGAACTGGCATTCACATTAAAAAAAACTCTCACAGACACGAAGGTGTACTGATGTGTATAAGAACTTGTACAAAAGAAATTTTTCTTGTTAGGCATGCTTAAGAATTTATGGACCAAAACCTTGCAAAGTAAAGTAGTCCGAATTCCAAAGTAGAACAATTTAAAATGGGATAAGGAACAAACATTCCCAACAAGTCAATGAATGTTGTAGGGAGAATTGTTCGTAGAGTTTCATTATCGAATGCCCGTATAAATAAGGATAGAGTAAAATTTATAAGTACGGGCCAATAGGCCCAAATTACATAATTTGCAATGAAATCTTTCTTATTACTCCCGATTATTATTATTATTATATATATTTCATTATTACTCAGCATTACTCATTATTATTATTGTTATTGGTAGAGGCATCAATTTTCTCTTGGTTGGGAGCCAGAAAGAAGAAAACAATAAAGCGGTGAAGCTCCCTAATTATACTTTTGAAACAATAAATCATTCTTCTCGCATCTAGTTTATACATATAATACTATTGATTGTTTAGGTATTCATTCATGATTATATATATTCACGCGCACACGCTGTTGTTGCATTTTGCCCTATTTTTCTGAACGGATATCTTCGATTAACAGGTTACTCTGCGCTATGGCTTCGAAACGGATCCTGAAGGAGCTCAAGGATCTGCAGAAAGATCCTCCTTCCTCCTGCAGCGCTGGTATTTCTAATTTGGTTCATGCCTGCTTTTGTTTCTTTCTGATTTCACGGTAACCTAACAAATCATGGGAAACATATTGAGATCATCCATAGGTTTTAGTATTTCTGAAATTGAATATGGATAATTAGTAAATCTAACGACGGTACCTCAGGAATTCCCCAAGGTATTTTATTTTAACATAGTTCAGGATAATTTTGAGAATAGGTACATGAACTAACTTAAAGTGTTCAATTAGCCCCTTATATAGATAGGAGGTTCTGCCCGGCCGTCGCCAATTGGGGCGGTTCCCGGTGGAATTTTTTGATGAATTTTTTTGAGAATCTTCTTCATTAAGTCTAGTTTATCCATACCAAATATCAGCTAAAAATTCAACCAGGAAGGCAGTCAAATGATTTTTTGAAGATAACTGCGCAGTTAAACAACGCAGTACATTTTGGAAAATCATTTGACTTCCTTCCCGATTTAATTTGTATCTGAAATTTGATATGGGTAAACTAGACTTAATGAAGAAGATGCTCAAAAAATTTCATCAAAAAATTCAGCCGGGAACCGCCCCAATTGGCGACGGCCGGGAAGAACCTCCTATATAAGGGGCTAATTGAACACTTTAAGTTAGTTCATGTACCTATTTGATCCTTTAGCCTTTTTTTTTTGCATATTTTTCAATTTTTGTATTACAATTAGAGTCAGGTGTACCTTATGGGGTGTATCCGTGTGTGTATTCTAAACATTAGTGTTATGTTTCTGTTATAGCTTGCTCCGAGTTGATGTCTATTGTCAATAGATAATGTCCTGTTCATGTCTATTGATTTACATGTTGAAATTGCAGAACTTGTCCAAACACATACTAACTGTATTGTTGTTTGAATATGTGATGTAAAAGGATATTAAACAATCCCATCAATCATCATTTTATTTTGACCTTAGGGATTAACTCAGGAATTAGTGAAATGTAGATCAAACTTGTGTTTAATTATGTTTTTTAATACCTAATTGGGTAAATGGTTTCAATGTTTAACCATTTTCTTGATAAACATAATGTCAAAACGGAGTCCGGACATGTGTTTATTAAAAGCATAGCCATGGTTTTTTTTATAGTGGTCACAAGCTAAAATGAAATTGTCCTTTATTTATGTCTTTTGGTTTTCATTAAGAAGTCATCTTCTACATGACTTGTTGAACAGGACCCGTTGGTGAAGACATGTTTCATTGGCAAGCCACCATAATGGGTCCCCCAGACAGTCCTTATGCAGGGGGTGTTTTTCTGGTTACTATTCATTTCCCTCCTGATTATCCCTTCAAACCCCCGAAGGTACATAATGATGAATGTTATGTTTATTTCTAAAGTGCGCCTTATCTTGAAAGCTCGTTTTATTTTAATCGAAGAACTTCTTGTTAACTGGCATTTAGTGATTGATGGGTGCTCTTTTAGTAGTGCTGAATTGCTGATCTGCTAATGTTGTTTACTCTAATATTTCGATACAATAAAACCTTTTGTCTCCCACCTATGATGTGAATAAGCAGAAAATTCTATTTTTACACGGCGAAACAAATTCAACCCTGCTTCTTCCGTGTCAACAGAAAAGGAACATTTCTATCTTCTATCCTTGAGCCACCCCAACTCTAATTTTTCTATGTGTGTATTATTTCCTTAATGAAACTTATGTATCAAAGCCTCTCCAAGGTCTTTATTTACTTGTCGATCAACAATTTGGAACCTACCATTATGTGAATGATTGATGTTGCATAATTTGTTAATGTTTTAGCATTTGAGACCGTACATTTTATTTTGGAGCACAGGCTCTTCATAATTTTGCTACATCTTTGGAAACGCCTTGCAGGTGGCTTTTAGGACAAAAGTTTTTCATCCTAATATCAATAGCAATGGTAGCATCTGCCTTGATATCCTGAAAGAGCAGTGGAGCCCTGCCTTGACAATCTCCAAGGTCTTAGCTTTGAAGTTTTCTCACTTCTTTGCTTAGTAGTAAACTAGTAATGCTGATTATTTTGATGCTTAAAAGTCAAACTCACAACTTCTAAATCTTTTTTACAAAAGTTTTCTTTTATCATTTTAGAGTAGATATGAGATTCAGATTTTCTAAATGATATCATCCTTGAGTGGATGAGATTCAATTTTCTTTGTTCTTAATTCACGAGCTGACGAGCCTTACTGCCTTAGTATTGACACGCTCTCATTGTTATTTGAGCCTTGATTCTCACTACTTGGCTTTGAGATATGCAAACCATAGTTTGTCAAAGTGTAGTACACAGGAATGGAGAAACCCCATTAAGTAATTTAAGTTTGTGCCATTTCTCTATTTAAATAGTGTATTAATCTTTAGATATTATGAAGGTGTAAGTGGTGAGTTTATATTAGTCTTCAGTGAACATATCATCGAATCCTAGCCCTAGAATTTTCCAGACTCAAAATAGGCACCATCTCATTTCCACTGATTACAATGGTTGTGTAAAAATTCAATGCCATTACTTGGTTCCATATCTCATCACAACCAATCAAGCAACACCCTAGCTCAAGAGCCTAGTGCATTCTGCACAACCAGTCATTTTTTCATTAGTGCCTTCAGTTACAATTGGTAGTCATTGAGTTTGCCTATTCTTAGTTGGAGTAGTGTACTTTCTCTATATACGTAGTATAAGATAGAGAATTACAATTATTTAACACAAGCTGTTAGTTGTGTTCCAAAGGGATTTAGGGAGGTGAGATCTCCACTCTTTAGCAAAGCCTGCGTCATGTGTGAATAACTCCAAAGAGGTCCCGCCTTTATAGCCTCTCAAAAACCATCCATACTGCGATTGTGTCCCTCCAAATATTGAAGGAATCAGTGATTTCCTTCGGGCTCCCACTGCTGTAATTACAACAATTCAAACTTCTGTAACTCATGTTCTGCCAATTGCAGCCCTGCCCAGTAGGACTTACATATGCTTGAGGGACTTTGACTGTGTTGCATCATGTATGTTTGGCACAAAAAATTTTAAGAGCTTTTTTAAGAATTTAAGATTTTTTTTAAGCTACACTTGGTAGCTTCTAAGAGAAAGTCTAGCAATATTAGTATTATTACTAATTATAAACTTTTTTCTTTTAAGATATTTTCAATCACTAAAAACTAACATTACTAAAAGCTCACAAAAGTATCTTTTCAGCTTCTTGATCTAGATATACCCATAATGAAAATGGATGAGGTGATATTAGGTGTGATTGACCTTAGGTCTATGAAGCAGACATGAGTACAAGTATGTGAACCAACAATTTCTTAAAATATGAGACATGTCTATGTGTGTGACAATAATACATAAGAGATTGGTAGATGACACATATGGGAGAGATACTATAGCCTTTTGTATTTTAGCACTTGGTCCAATATTTTAGAAATTTCAAATACCTCATTACAACAACATGCAAGCTTTAGTCCTGGGTTTTGAATCTTCATGGAAGCAGTTTCAGCATTTTATAGCCCGGTCTCCCTAGCCCCCGACACCTAGGATAAAAAAAATACAAGCTTTGGTCTCAAAATAGTTTGGGGTCGGCTAACATGATTTGACATATGAAATCAGAGCTAAAAGGAAAAAAAAAGATAAGATGAAGATAAAGAAGATAAGAAATACTTATATACTATCTATTCAGAATATAATTTACAGTGGTAGAGAAGGGATGTAGGTTCACATTTCTGTGGGATTAAAAGTCCATCAATGCTAATGAGTTTCTCTATAAGTCTGTATCTCAAGGTGGGAAAGGTTCCTTTATATTGCTTTTCAGGTGTTGCTCTCAATATGTTCACTTTTAACTGATCCAAACCCTGATGATCCCTTGGTCCCGGAGATCGCTCATATGTACAAGACAGACAGGAGCAAGTATGAAACAACTGCCAGGAGCTGGACCCAGAAGTATGCAATGGGTTAACTTGACTATTGCCTGCTTGCATTTGTGCTGAAATTTGTCCTGTCAACCATTGCAATGGACGACTGTAGAAATATTATTACCCTTCAAATGAAAATGTTGCATTAAACTTCTTTTGTTAATACTATTTTATTGGTGGAAAACTGAAAATGTTTGTTTATGTGGAGTAATTATTATTGACTCTTTATGGGTCTGTTTGCAACAGCTTCTGCTTTTAAAAAAGTGCTTTTTTTAATGAAATGGGGAGAAGTGATTAAATAAAAGTTGATTGTGTTTGAGAAAAAAGTGATTTTGAAAAGTAAAAGTGGGTAGTGTTTGATAAAATAAGTGCTTTTTGTGTAATAGAAAAAGTAAAAGCACTTTTGACGCGGAAGCCGAGAAAAATAAAAGTTGTAGTGTTTGGGAAAATAAGTGCTTTTTTAAAGCCAAAAGCTGAGAAGTGCTTTTTTAAAAGTGGTTGCAAACTAGGGATTACCGGTTTGGTTCTAGTTTATCCGGTTTGTTCGGGTCTAGTTTTTTTTAACTAGGGATTAGACCCCCCACCCCACCCCACCCACTGAAAATACTTGTCTATGGTGTGTATACACTGCAGTGCGCCAGTGCTTCGAATTTAGATTTTTCAATTGAAATCTTATAGCTAAGGAAATAGTGCTAGTGTTTACTAGACCCAATCATAGCCTAGTGATTGCTTCGCGGTTTGGTTCTATCTCTGTTTTTTAACTTCTAAAAATGGCCTAGGTGATTAGCGACGTGAGCGTAGTGATTGTTGATTGGTCCAAATATTATTCATGCCTAGTCGTAGGGGCACAGTGGACTGGTCCGGTTGTGGTCCATCGTCCCCCAAATGGAGTACCAGTACTGCAAGTCTGCAACTAGGGATTACGGGTTTGGTTCTAGTTTATCCGGTTTGTTCGGGTCTAGTTTTTTTTAACTCCAATATACACTAATAAAATTATTATCAAGACTTTAAAGAAACTTATTAATGTCTTAAAACAGTAATTACAGTACAAGCTAAATATTTTGCACCTTAATAAAAGTGGAACCTAGATTAAGGTACACACCATACAAGTAGATGCGTAGAGCTGTAGAAGTAATTTAAAAAATCAAATAAACACTTCCATTTGTAAGAGAAATAGAAGTAGATCTTGCAAAAAAACAAAGCAATATAAGAAGTAGAAGCTAAATTGAGCCATTGAGGTACACCGTACAAGTAGAAGGTAAAAGTACAAGCTAAATTAAGGTAGAAGTAGAAACATTTTTTTGGCAAAAGAAGTAGAAGCAATTTAGAAATTAAATAAACACTTAAATTTGTAAAGGCAAATGTTTTGCACCTTAAGAAAAGTTTGTATTCTCTTTATAGTGTTAAAGGCAAATGTTTTGCACCTTAACTTTTTATATACGTAGTATTATTATTTTTACTTTAATATGAAAAATAATGAGGTTTTTCCTGCAATGTTACTAAAATAAGATTTGTGGACAAAAATATGACTAATGTGACCATGAAATACACTTTTATAGTCATTTTAATGTAAAATTTGAACAAAACTATATTCACAAATAGTTACTAAATCACATTTTATTCACTATCCTTATTTTGATCATAGAAATAATTTAAACAATTTAAACATTAATTATGTTCGTTTGAGCTTCCGCTCACATATGAAATGATGTGAGAATGTTTGATTTTTATTGAGAGTGTCTTGCTTTTAATAATGAAAATATACAACCGCTTTAATTAGATGATTACAAACTTAGTTGAGTTCTATCATGTACAAGAACACAACGGCATGTTAAGTATTTGACAGCAACTACGGAGATCAAGAAAATGTGTACTATCCGTAAATGGTATTTTTACAATAACTAACCATTTTAGATAATATTTAATTTCTTTATGTGATAATTTTTTACCTCACTTCCGCAGCAGCTATATATATTACAGTTAGAACACTTCCCAAATTAAACACTGCTAGGAGCATTAAATAGGGGTCTACCTCTTTCTTGAGAGGCCATAAACATGATAAACATGACTAATTGGTGCTTCAAACCAGTATTTTTATTAGAAAAATTACAAATATATTACTACTTTAAACCTTATTAACAAATATATGACCACTGGTTACTAATGTGAGTGCACTACTAATTTTTTAGTGAAGAGTGAGTCACATTTTTGTAAACTTACATACTATTGATAATATATAGGTAAAAAACTCTTTATTATTTTAGAGATTCTAAGACTTGTCCGAATAAGCATGTTACTTGAAAATTAAGATAACAATTATGTCTACAATACAAATGACATAATGCCTAATGCATTGACTAGGCTGTGATGAATGTATGTATTTTGGCATCGATGTTCATTGCTACAGGAGTTTCAAATTTGCATCTCTCTTCATCTATAGCTGCTTCAAGTTTGCAGTCACTGTCCATTGTTCTCTTTGTGGACTCCTTCCCAGCCTCCCAGGAGACAAAAGCCATGTGCTACATACATGGTGCACAAAACAATGATCTCATGACTCATGAATCCTTTAGGGTTATAACATATCACTGGGTCATGGTTGAAGTTGTTTTTGTCCTAATAACGAAACAAATTGTACACTTGTGTTTAATCCAATTGTTCTATATCTGTACCAACCCAAATGGGTCAATGTAAAGAACATCAAGGGTCATTTTGAGCAGCATAGACACGGTCTCACTCCATAATGGTCGACTCCCAGTTCCAGAAGTGTAGTACGTTAATCATTACAACTACCAGGCTACCGATAGAAAATACAAATTGTTCATTGTTCAACATTTATAATGTTTTCAACGGAAAATGATAGGAAATGATGAATGTAATCATTTAGTTGCACATTCCTTCAACCTTAGGGCCTATTTGGTAACCAATGTTTTTGACTTATCAACCTTACTTTTTACCAAACACACGTCTTTTCATATTATACATTGATTATGTACTATATTCAAAATAAGTGGGAAATATAACTTACCAATTTAGTAGTTACTACTAGAATTTCACCAATGCCACCAAATTCAGTCACTTCAGTGTTACGAAAACTAAAGTAATCATCAAAAGCTGCTTAACAACAATATTTCAGTTAATGCCTCCAACAAAAATACATTGCCTTGTTATAGTACAACTGTTTTACTTCAAAATCATTTTGAGATAGATCGATCAGAATTTCTTTTCTCAAAACTACAAAACCATTTTGTCTAACAGAGCATGCTCCCTACTGCTAGAGATAGAAAGAGCTGTGTGCTTTACATATGATGCTACCCCTCCCTTGACCAATTGAGCACACAAACCTACTGCCCAGCCTTACTAAAAAAGTGCTCCATCTGCAAGCACCCTTGAGATTGCAAACTATTTGATTTGAGGGCATACTTGAATCGCTTAGTTGATGCTGATGAACTGTCATTGTTCTGCTCCAAAAAAAAACACAAGATGGGATGTTACTCCGACACTTATTCAGACATGAATATACTATACATATTATGGTACTGTTTTTATTTTTATGTGCCGAAAAAGGAGGAACTATTTATGCTCACCAAGGATGTGTGGTTTGAGGACCTTAGAACTTTGGTCCTACCACCTCTACCATCTGCTCCAACAGCAATCAGGTTACCACTAATGGTGGCTGATCCTGCAGACGCTGGCATTGGTCCCTTATTCTGCCCCACCTTCTTGCACCATTTCCCCAAGTGCCAATTGTTTCCATCAGGACCTATCAGCCCACCAGAGAAGCAACGGTCTCCTGTGTTTTCATATCAATGTGGGGTATAAGTTATTTCTACAAAAACATACATAAGGCTCAGTTTGTTCCCGGTTAAAAGATACATCGACAAAAACTGCAGTTTAAGAGGAAATAAGAGGGGTAAAACCTGGTCCAGCAAGAAGGGGTGATGAAGATGAAGTATCTTTTCTGATGTGGAAAGATGCTTGGGGTAAACTCGTGTCATCTAAAATGACCACATCATCATCACTGTCAATTGCATCATGCGATAAGTTTTTATTGCTCTTATTAGGACTTCTTGAGCTTTGTATTTCTTCCTTGTTTTGTTCTTGCCGCACTTGAGCACTGGCACTTATCGTCTCCAGTGATGCACTTCTGTTTGAGAAATGGAAATCAATGGAACTTGTCTTGTTACAAGTTGTTGACTTCAAACTTGTATGCAACCCTTTATTCCCCTTATATGTTGAAATCTCACATATATCTTCATCTTTCTTTTTAAGAAATGAAACCTCCTGCTTTTCGGGGGGATTGCAAGCAACAGTATCTTCAATGGTAGCATTTCCTATACAACACTCCCCTTTGTGTGTTTCCTTTTGTCCTGAATAGGGTAAATCAGTGTGTGTGAGACTCGCTAGATCCAAACCAGCCACGGATACAGGGGGGCAGTTTTCTTGATTGTTATATGAGCACTTCTTAGATATGGTTTCTTGGACAAAAGCAATTGATGAATCTGTCTCATGTGTCCTCATCCTCTTACAAGTCCTCAAAGTTCTCAATGCTTCATTTTCTTTTGCCTCAGCAGCTGTCTCCAGTTTTTGAACCTTTGCCTATAAATAGCTCTGCATATATAAGTGTTTTCAAAGCTCAAACTACCCCATTCAAACTCACTATGTCATCAACTTACTTTCAGAGTATGGATCTTGGCTTTGGCTTTCTTAAGTTCACAAAGAGAACGTGCTTCCCCTCGTCCAAGAGAATTGCACTTCACCATCAATTCTTTGTAACTCCTAAAGTGTTGCACAAAGACATTCTTTTATTTTTAATTTTCACATAGTTTAGTATATAACTATTAACTGCATGTCAACATGATCATAATCATTAGAGTTTGAATCTAACATTTTGAAGTGAGAAACCATGAAAGGGTAATTACACAAATACTGATACATGCACATACATATATATACACATTCATATTGTTTTGATATACATACACATATATATAACTTGGGGGCCATGTCGACTTGAGAATGCAATTCTTTTTATAGATACATAAATATAGTACCTTTCTCGTCAGGCCAACTCCATTTTTGGCCGGAAATGAAGCTTATGGTTCAATTTTTTTATTCATTAGTATTAACTATTAGTTTCACCGTTAGATCTTAATTTTGTTCGAAACTAGACGCATTAGTATTAACTATAGGGTCCAGTTCCAATAAGATCACTTCTTCCCGTGAAAAGTGAAAATTATCCAAAAGGATGCATATTATGGGTCATGGAGGTGCACATGTATGTTAAAATAATGCACACTTTACATGGTTAGAAAAAAGTTGAACTTGTTTACAAAAATGCCACCATATTTTCTGATTCAAGGTAGTAAACATTTCTATTTCACATAAAAATGCACAGTTCTAAAGTCTCTAACGTTCCAAATTCATTTTCATTACTCTTCTTAGATCACATTCTCATTTAATCCAAATTCTATACATACATATATGTATGTAGGGGTTTTAGTGAGAAGTCATATTAAAATAAGAACTTTTTATGATGAGAAAAGAGAACAAATTAAGTGAAGCCCACAATGATCATAACCTTTCGATTTTAAATCTGAAGATGAGATGAGTATCCATGCATTACTACTGCATTAGTATCCCTTTCTGATACTGATACCCATTAAAACAACAAATTTAATCTTGAACATGACATTAACACCACTATAGAGTATCTACAAATGTGCATACATAAGAAACTGGGTTAAAGGAATTTCCATCACTATTTACAGCTACAAGCAGACTATCAAACTCAATTTTGCTTTTCATGCCACAATGTCAATTACATTAATTAGCTTTCATATCGTTGGGGAAAATGAGTGAGTTTTTAACTGAATGTTGACACTACACTTTGTTAAAGTAAATACTTGAGAATCAAGTGTCGTGCAGGATAAGAGTGATTTTGTGATGGCTAAGTTTCGATTTCCTATGATTTTTTGCAGTTATTATAATTATTGTTCTTCCCTTCCACAATCTTTCAACTATTCAATAAGGTAATAGAAGCTCATGTCCTTCCACGTGCAAGAAAACTATAGCGAAGCAAATTAAGACTCTCAAAACTCACGAACTCCATACAAACTAAGAAATGAAACTAGCTATTAAATACGGACTATTATTTAACAAATACATAGCAGAGGATATTAAAGATTTAAACAAACTAGATCCTTATCAAATTAAAAAAAATGTGATGTCTTACTTGTTACGGATGGCTAGTGATCTTTTCAAAATATCAATTGTCTCTTTACTGTTGGCCTCATTACCTAATGTAGCAAACTTTAAGACATCTTCTTCCTCCAAATTTAAATCACAGACCCTACATATTAAACCATAAAAATAAAAACCATTGAGTAAAGTTGACTTAAGGAAAAATATTATATGCTTTCCATATTGTCACCTACAACTTAAGTGCTGCGAGTTCCTTGGCCAGTGAGAGATTTCTTTCCTTTAGCTTTGTGCATTCTGAAATTGATTTTTCCAGGTCCTGCAAACACAAATTTTCATAGCACTAAGCATTTTACAAAAATGGCTTGTAAGCCAAATTATATTCAATCAATAAATTTGTAGCTAAAAGTAAGTATACTGGCTATAAACACAACAAAAGAAAAATGGGTACCTTAGTCTTCACACAAAGCAAGGTTTGAGCTGCAGCTCTCTCTACCAGAGCCTCACTTCTCAGTTTCACTTCTAGCTTGACCTGTTCCTTAGATGTTAAAAGCTAAACCAAAGTTGTTGAAGTCAATAGAAAATCATTGGAAGAATGAAATGATGGGATGAAGAAAGTGATAGAGGGAGAAACCAAAATCCCATTTTTTAGGAATTTTCTTAAGACGTTTGACCCTTTTTAACTTCCATGTTCCAACTATTTCCATATCCTAGACTGGAAAGAGGCATCTACAGTCTTTCCAATTATAACCATTAGTCTCTTAGTATTGCAAATCTTATCCCTAGCTTTGCAAGAATACAAATTGTTTGGAATATGATTCATGTACAAGTTCCTAAGAATGTGAGCAATAATTATTCCCATTAAAAAGAAAATGAAGATACAAGGCTTCAGCTTTTCCTCGCTTGGTCACTATGATACAGATCATCCTTGAAGCAGATTCCCTTTCACTTTTCAACTAGCCAACCAACACAAAAAAAGCCATACTAGAATTCTTTATTGAAAGCATATTATTGTTTACAACTCAAGCATTATTACCCTAGGAGTGTCGAACACAAACATAGATTTATTGTCTGTGTGGTAAATACAACAAGGTATTTTCTCTACTGTTCACTTTGAGAAACACATATAGAGAACAATACAATAACATACCTCCTCAGTAATTTCTTTGAGATCTTTCTGGTGTTGATCCAGAGCAGAACTAAGTACAGAAACTCTACCTTCTAATCTCTTGACCTCTCTCTGCAATGCTTCTGGATTCTGCTCACTGTCACGCGGAATCTGGGAGAGGCTTGTTTCATTTGTATCACCAACTGATTGAAAATAAAGTCGACTGACATTCTTCTCTTTACATGGTTGTTTGCATACTGGGCAAGTGTTCTTCCCTTTTGAGCAATACTCAAACCATTGCTGAAGACTGGTTTGTTTATTTATCCATAAATACTCAGACCACAACATATGCATTTCCCAAAAAGAAAAAAATGAAAAACTATATAGGCATGAAACAAATTTTATGCCAGCTTAATGCTCTTCAAGAATATATTAATATGCATGCAAAGTAGTTACTACCTCTGTCCTGGCTAAGGTTTCCATTGCAAAATGACACGGTTATTTAGACGATAATTAAATAAGGTTATTTGAGTATAAGTAGAGATATAATTTTGATGGGTATATAATATAATAAGGTTATTGATGATAATTGTGATGTTATAGATGTATTGTTTTTAATATTTGATGATTAAATTGTCATTTAAGATGCTAATTATTTCCTAAAATAGAAATAAGAAGCTTTAGTTGAGAAGTCCATACAATTTTACAGCTAAAAAAAGAACTGAAGGTATATACAGTGAAGATGTTAAATTCATTTAAGAAAAATTTTAGAATTCAAATGTCAGAGGACACATTACTGGGAAATACAATACTATGCAAACAGAAGATCATCATCTACCCCTTTAGAAAACAAAAAATGATTAATTTCATTCAAAATAGATGTTATCATGACAGCTAAAGAAGGACCAACGAATCTATAATATTAGAACCTCCATATGCCTCATTCCTGATTATGAAATTTTAGTACAGTAGATAAAGTTTTCGCCCTTCGAGGCTTTGACCTACCTATTTCATCAGTTTCATTACCCAGATAAGTTGATAAAACAGAAAAGAAGAAGAAGAAGAAGAAGAAGAAGAAGAAGAAGAATGAAAACATGGTGCTTTGAAAGGGTTTACCAGAGCTCGTGAAATACGTGACCACACAAAGAAATGGATTGGAGATCTTCGACAATTGGTTTCAGATCTTCAAAGCAAATTGAGCAAATTGTCTTGGCATTCTCATTTTCGCATCTGACCATTGCAGTATAGATAGGGCTACTCACTCCTCTCTTCTCTCTAATGTCTTCGAAAATGGTCGGTAGAGCCAAAAATTTGAATAGCGGGGGACATAAGGTTGCCTGTTATCGCGGGAAAAATATTCCCGCAGTTCCAATGTACGAGTGATTTTTTAGTGAAAATTACACTCTTACCCTTTATTTATTTGACGTACTTAAATGTATTATCCTCTTTTTTTTTAAAAAAAAATCAAACTAATTTATTATTAAACGATAGCAAAGATACAAGAGAATAGTCTAAGTCTAAGTTTAACAGTCTTGTTGTTCTTCTTGCTACTCCAAAGAAAAATTAAAAATATTACATCTAAACGATTCGGCTTCATCAGCCACCGGAAATGAATAATTGGTTTGACCATAAATCAAAAAAGGAAAATCAGTCGAGCAGAATTTTTTTCTGAAACATCAGTTTGACCGGCCACCAAAAAGGATATCCAATTGACCATCTTCTTCCCAGAGCGAGGCGATGGTTCAGGTGGAGGACGAGTATTTGAAGCATCCGAACAACAAGGTTGAAAAAGCTTTACCAAGCATGAACAATCAAAATTCATCAGATCGATTACACCGATTAGAAACAAACAACCTCTAGACATTTCTAGGAAAATAACATACCACATGCTCACAAGAAGCGGAAGCGAAGAACAACTTTTGATTTATTTTTTCACTGCATAGAGAACGTCGCCATCTTCCAAAACCTTTTGCTGGCCGAACAAGAAAAGACTTAAAATTCAGATCTTGAAAAATGTTGGGGATGGCCGCCTAGTGTTTCCCCTAGGGCCGACTCTCCAAAGTTCACTACTTAATTATTTGTTTTATAGGACGGAGGTAGTACTAATTACATATTCTCCTTTTTTTTATAATTTATAAAAAATAATATCCCTTTAATCTCTTTTTTTTTTTTTACCCCGGAAGGTCAACCACCGCATCCAGTGGGGTAAATGCCGGGGAGCATTTACCATGTTTTATTAATTAAGTTAAAAAAGATAATACAAAAGAAAAGGGGGACTAGGCCAAAACCTTTTCAAGAAGGCATACCTTCCCAAAAAACAGAACAAACAGCTCAAAGAATAATCTAAACACCAAATTACTGGGGGGACCAAACCTTACCCAATAATTGAAACAGGAAACTAAACAATTCTAAAAAAACTCAAACCCAGTTTATCAGCAATAAGAGAGCGTCTGATGTGAAGAGGAAGTTGACTATAATTGTAATAATAAACCACCTTATCCATACTAATTTTAGAAAGGTAATGCGCAGTCCAATTAATCTCTCTTGGAATATGTCTGAAGCAAAACCGAAACTCATCCCTCCATCTCCTCAAATCCTCTATCGCCTTTATCCATCTTCCAATGAGAATACCTTCCCGAATCTCCTCAATCGCTCCCAAGGAATCCGTTTCCACCTCCAAGGAAAGATAACCACAGTCAATCGCCCAGTGAATTGCTGAATGCATAGCCAAGAGCTCAGCCTCCATCGCCGAGCTCGCAGGAAGGGGAAAATGAAAAGCCGCCACCAACTCCCCAGTTTTGGATCTGATAACAGCCCCTCCTGACGACTTCTCAGTAGTAAAGGATGCATCAACATTCAATTTGAAGTCCAAAGCAGGTAACTTCCATTTAATCGCTCTAATCCTCCGTTTCATGGTTCGAAATGACGAACTCAAAAGTCCTTCTTCGTATAACAGTGAACTGGGATTTCCAAATTTGGCTGTAGATAGTTTAGCTTCAGACCAAACCTGAGTAAAAAATTTAATTTGCTTAATAACAAACTGCCAATTTGGAGTAGCATTCGCCTCTCCCCACACAATCCGACAGTAGGTTTTCCAGATGTGCCAAGAAATAATGCCCGCCATATTATGTTTGAACACATCTATTAACCTCTTACTTCCAGCTTCCAACCACCAAACTATAAGCATCTGCCTAATAGATATTGTTCTAGTAGGAAAAGGGATATCAAAGATACTCATAAAATATTTCCAAATGTTCCAGCTGAAAGAGCAATTGAGCAAAACATGGTCCATAGTATCAGTGTTCTGCTTGCAAAGAGGACAACGAGAAGGGAAAATAGTCATATCAAACCTCATCAAATTATCTGGAAATGGTAGAATTTTATGAAGAATTCTCCATTGAAAAATTTGAACTTGAGTATTTTGGAATTTATTGCAGGCATGCTTGAATGAGAAGCTAGAATTCCTTGCTTTTCGAATCTCCTGGAATGCTGAGGATAAGCTGAATCTTCCGCTGCTCTCAGGTAACCATAAAATATTCCCATCAGAAGAATAGGCAGTGAGAGATTTCCCCAAATCATGAGTTCTGCATATTCTTTTCCAAATTTCTGAATCAGTCTGTTTAGGAACCATATCATTGCCCCTTGGATATCTCAGATGACAAAAAGTAGCCCAATTTGATCTGTTACTACTCCATTTCCACCATAGCTTCAAAGTATAGGCTTTCTCAATATCAACAAGAGATCTAATATTCAGTCCTCCCTCTTCATAAGGCAAACATAAATCCTTCCATCTAATCCAATGGTATTTTCTTCTATGATCTTCAGACCCCCAAAGAAAATTGGACATTCTTCGCTCAAGACTTCTTATGATAGTCTTAGGAAGTGTGTCCACAGATAAAATATGGAGGGGAATGGTATTAAGCACATGCTTAATAAGTACAAGTCTACCACCAAAATTCAAGTTTTTTTGTTTCCAAGATGTCAACTTCTTATCAAAACTTTGGAAAATGCCTTTACAATAATTCTTTCTGTTGATTCCTTTGTGCAGGGAAGCGCCTAAATACCTCAATGGGAAGTCAATTTTGGACATCTGCAACAGTCTTTCCATATTCCTTATTCTGGGTAAGGAAGTTTTCCCACATCCAAAGCTGCTCTTATCAAAATTAATGGCCTGACCTGAAGCTCTTTGATATAGCCCCAAAAATCTTTTAAAATTCTGGATAGATCTAGCCTCCCCATTAAGAAAAACTAGGATATCATCAGCAAAGCAGAGATGAGTAACTGATGTACCAACTGGCCCAATCCAATATGGCTTAATCTTGTTATTAAGTGTAAGTTGCTTAAGACCTCTAGAAAGAGCTTCAGTAGCTAAAATGAAGAGAAAAGGAGATAGAGGGTCCCCTTGTTTAACCCCTCTGTGAGGCTGAAAGTAACCTTTAGGAGATCCATTTATCAGAACTGAAAAATGAGTAGCCTGCAAGTGACGCATCACTAAATTAACAAAAGAAGCAGAAAACCCAAATTTAGTTAGCGTAGCGTTTAAGAAAGTCCATGAGAGCCTGTCGAAAGCCTTTGCCATATCAAGCTTAATCACCACATTAGTTCCCCTGATTTTTCTGTCAATAGAATTGATCATCTCTTGAGCCACCAGAATATGGTCCGATATATCCCTTCCTTTCATGAATCCTGCCTGCTCAGAAGATATCAATTTAGGCAATATATGGGCTAACCTGGAAGCTAAGACCTTACTAATGAAATTAGACAGACTGATGGGTCTAAAATCTGAGAAAGTAGAGATGTTGTCCTTCTTAGGAATAAGTACAATAAGAGAGCTAGCCATAGCTTTAGGAATATGATTCCCTTGAAAGAAATCTTGTACTGCTCTAACAACATCATTCCCAATAATAACCCAACAATGTCTAAAAAAGACCCCATTGAATCCATCAGGACCAGGAGCACTATCTTTATCCAAATCCCAAATAGCTTGCTTAACTTCATCAGCATTTGGAAGAGACATCAGCTCTGCATTATCAGAATTATTTACTAACCTTGGGATGTACTGCAGGATCTCCTCCACATCCTGTACTTCTTCTTCAGCAAAAATTCCTTGAAAATAGTCTTCAGCAGCTACTCCTATTGACTCAGCATCAGTGCACAGCTTGCCAGCTTTATCCTTGATAGCAGATAAGTGTTGCATTCTCCTCTTAATATTAACATATGCATGATAGAACTTTGTGTTAGAGTCCCCATCTTTTAACCATCTTAGATGAGCTCTTTGCCTCCAAAAAGTGTTTTCCTGGTTGTGCTTATTAAGTAAGAGGGCCTGCTTGAAAGACCAATCTTCTCTATGAGCCTCACTAGGATCAGTTTCAAAGAGAATTTCAGCCTCAGAAACTTCAGTTTCTAATTTTTTGATGTCGTGAAAAATATCCCCAAAGATATTCTTATTCCACAATCTAAGAGTTTTTTTTAGAGAATGCAGTTTGTTGTATAGTCCCCTCATACCTCCACCTGTGCTACAGGCATCCCAATCTTGCTTGACTACCTCAAGAAAGTTTGAATGTGAAACCCACATATTCTGGAATTTGAAAGATTTAGGACATGCCACTAATTGATTTTTACACTGCAGCAAGATTGGAGAGTGATCTGAAGAAGTTTTGTTGAGATGATTAATTTGGATAGTATCAAATTTATCCAAAAAAGAAGAATTAAAAAGAATTCTATCCAGTCTTCTCCAGACCCTACCATTGGCTCTAACCCCAGACCAAGTAAAAGGAGAACCAATAAAAGGCAAGTCAACTAGATCACATTTAGCCAAGCAATTTTTGAAATCAGTCATAGAGCTCATCATAGGTGTACTGTTACCTTTATGTTCCTTCAGGTCAACTATTGCATTGAAATCACCCCCCACCATCCAAGGATCAGTGCAAGAATCTGCCCAATCACCCAAGAATTGCCACAGACCTCTTCTTTCAACATAGCTATGACTTCCATAAATTGAGGTAAACCAGAATTCCATAACCCCCAAATGAATTTTCATGTGAGTGTACTGGCTACCAGTAGAAATATTTGAAATATCCAATTTATTCTTATCCCAGAATAACCAAATCTTATTTTCTGTACAACAAAACGTAGATTTCAACCCAATGTGGGAGGCTATCTCATTTATTTTATTAGCGGAAATAATAGGCTCAATAACAATTAATAAGGGTAAGTTCCACTGTCTGATAAGATCTCGTAGTCTTGGACAGGAAGAAACAAGACCACGAACATTCCAAATGATGCAATTCATCATGGAATGGCAGAAAAAGCTTGGGCCAGCCTCTTAGCTGCATTCCTAGTAAT